ATTAATTTTTCAACACAGACGGTAAATAAATGACAATTGACGTATCCCTCCACCAATATAATGAAAAGAGATTTCTGTTTTTAGTAAAAAAAAAATCGTAGAAAAACGATACACTTCAAATAAATATACATATTATAAAATTTGGCAATGTGGTACCAGGCTGACGAGCATCATATTAAAAAAAATTCATAAATGTCCAATATAAGCAGCTGGAAAACCTAACTTGTTGAGTTAGTAGAACAAAAAAAATGTTAGGAATATATTTTACTAAATTCGATTGATTTCTAGTATCTATTAAACAACGAGAAACAATAAATACAAAATGTCAAAAACGTAAACGTCATTCTATAAAAATAATTCATTCAATAAAGTATTATCAAAAAGATTCAGCTTCAGTTTTTATTTACTACATTTCTGCAAGAAAACAGTGTTGACTTGATATTTTGTTGATTTTTCTATAAATTTTTCATTTTAAAAAAACCAGCGCTTGTAGCCCCAAGAAAGAAGAATTATAGTAAAGTTAAAAATTTTCTTCACACTGAATCTTTTATTACAACCAATTTACCAAAGTTGTTTGGGCTATCATTTCTTTGGCATTTATAGATAAAATTGTTGGTATTGTAAATTGTAGTTTTTGGTTTCTAGTTTTAAATGGCATTCATGTAGATTAGTGAGATATCCTCAAAAACGGTCATGAATGACGTGTTTTTTTATGGCATCTTATATAATTTGAGGCGTACATTCTAAAAATATTTTTTCAGGAAGGGTCTCAAAAACGGTGTTAAATTTAGTTATTATATGTGATTTTTATGTCATCTTATAGAACTCATTGGATTGATTCCGAAAATTTATGGGTCTATTTCTAACGGTAGCGCCTCCAAACTATTTAAAATATTTTGAATATCATTTATCGGTTTTCTTAATTTTGAAATAACGTAATATTTATTCATAGTCGAGCAAACTTTTGGCGAAAAATATGAACGTGTAGGGTAAATCTGAGGTGTTCCTCTGGAGCCATTTTTTAAAGTTTTTTCATGTTCAGAAAAAACTAAATGAAATTTTGGAAAAATGTTTCCTGTGGAACACATATTTAACTTAACACGTGATGTATGTATTTCTTCTTCTATTTCAAATATTTTGAAAATCACTTATCGGTTTTCCAAATTTTTAAATAACGGAATATTTATACAGGGTAGCCACTTTGAAAAGTATTGATAACACAACTATTTACAATAATTACTAGACGATATGTTTTCCTTTAGATGACCGAAGAAATATTTATTTTATGCAAGATGGCTGCATTAATCAGAAATTATTTAAACGAAAGATTTCCCAGGAGGTGGTTTGATACACATGGACCTATTCGATGGCCGCCTACGTCACCCTGCTTAAATCCTATGGATTATTTTATATGGGAATATATTAAAAATAAAGTTTATTATAACGGTATTTCGAATAACTTAAATTAATTACGGGATAGGATAATTATTAATGTGTTTGATAATATCACTTAACAAATGATTTTTGCTAGCATGGCTTAAATGTTAGAGTGTATTGACTTATGTATTCGAGAAGGAGAACGTTTTGAGCAACTTTTTTCTCTTACCGTTAATTATTGTGTTCTTTTATTACTTTCCTATCTGTATACAGATATAAGGAAAGTATAGGAATCATGATTTTTTCGACCTCGAGTTTTCGACGGATTTTTATGTTTTGAGGTCCCCTGAATCCGTTTTGACTATTTTCGCGATGATGTCTGTGTGTGTGTCTGTATCCACCATAACTCATGAACCGATACACAGAAAAACACCAAATTTTAAACTTAAGCTTTGTTCCAGCATCCAATAAACTGATTAGATTTTGGGCAAAGTCGGAACATCTGGGGGGGGGGTACTTTATAGGTAGTATTTTTATATTTTATGGAATATATCTGTTACTTACGTTTGGGGAAGAAAATTCTTCAAATAAAAGTTGTTTGTAATATAATTCTCTATAATTTTTATCCCATACATAATTTCTCTAAAATGGACCGTATTCGAAATATTTGAGAAAATGTGTAAATTTCGAATTTTGAAGAAAACTCAAAAACGGATAAAGAAAAAACATAAAATTTTAAACTTAAGTTTTATTTCGGCCTGACGTGAAATGATTAGATTTTGGACAAAGTCGGAACATCTGGGGGGGTACTTTATGGGAGGCCGTTTTTATATTTTATGAAACATATCTGTTATTTATGTTTGGAGAAGAAAATTGTTCAAATAAAAGTTACTTCTAATATTATTATCTATAATTTTTGCTTTTTATCAAAATTTCCTGAAATGGTCCGTAATCGAGAAATTTGACAAAATGTGCAAAATTCTGATTTTTATGAAAATTGTTGAACTAAAAGTTGTTTGCGATATCGATCTCTATAATTTTTATTTATACATAATTTTTCTAAAATGGACCGTAATGGAAAAATTGTAGGAAAAGTGCTAAATTTAAATTGTTTAGTATTTTGATTTTATATCTAATATCTATAGAAAAATGTTTCGAGGTAGATGTATGTGGAAAATGTATATATTTAGTTTATCCTCTAAACATTTATAGAGGTGCTACAATAGGTTGTACAAAAAAACCGGAAAATGTCTATAATAACTAGATAGGAAAGTTATGTGTTGGACATATCAGATTTTTTTTATCTGATGCGATGAGTAGTTAAATAAATATTTTTTTCTATTAAATTATTTTTATCACTAGTAATAAATTTAACATAATAGCAGCAAATGTATTAATAATAAAAATAATAATAATAATACTCTCCACGAGTGAATTTCAACCCCTGAAGCCGACTGAGCGATTTGTGTAGGGGAGGGGATTATTTGCCGTGACGCTCAGGGACTACTTAAAAATTATTGATATCGCCATTTGACTTAAAGGTGAGGAAAACCCGGAAAACCCCACCCACCATCATCAAAACGGTAATGCATGGCGATTTTTATAATCTGAATGTAATATCAACATAAATTAAATTTCTGCTAATACGGCATCCATCAATTCTTATAGCGAACCATGCAAATAAATTCACATGGTCTTCTGTAGGATGTACATTTAGCTTTTAAAATGTAGTTGTTTATTTCAAGTAATTTATATTACAGATCCATACTAGTAAACGTACCTGATGATGTTCAAATCTTCCGAAATACTGAGTTGTTACATCATTAAAATTATGAGTCTTAAAAATTAAATGCGCACAACAAAATAAAAAACCCTAAATGAGGTTTGACTATTTTTGAAAATAAACTTACTGTAGTGGAATAAAGAAATGGTACTTTTTTGATATTTTGGTTTTCAAAACTTCATCAGATTGTGCTTCGAAATATGCAACTTTTTCCTCATTTAACCAACGTTGTGTTACCAACGGTTTACGAGATAGATACATTTCAATAAAAAAAGTGCTCCCTTCCCCCGTATCCCGTATATACAGGGTTGTACCTGAAAGGTCTGTACAAAACGCTAGCACAAACTTATTAGGCTAAAATAAGAGGATCTGGCTCAATTTGTAAAATAAATTTAACAGACGTTTCTTTGAGTGATTTAAGTCAAAAAGTTCATGTAAACATGGGTCCGCAAATGCTTCGTTTTCAAGATACAGGGCGTCAAAATTAAAAAAAAAAAAAAAAAAGGTTTTTTCATAAATATTTTAAATATCCTTTTATCCATACTTTTATCTCTTGAATATTTTTCGAATATTGCTTAGTTTTCAAAAAAAAAAAAAAAAATTTAACATCCTGCATCTTGAAAACGGAAGCATGTTTACATGAACTTTTTGTCTTTAAATGTTTAACCTATTGTACATATTTAAGTATATTATTTTGTAGAGTTCGTAAAGAGAATTTCAACGCCGCAAACCGCATCTTCCTAGTTATTTAATTTCAAAGTTACTGGATGCTGTAGTACAAATTAACCCAAATAGAAATCAAGGCAAGCCGAGGACTCATGAGCATGCAGATGTGGACGGGCTTCTGAGGCGCGGCAAATTGCCTCGTTGTGTGTGCCGTACGGCACATAGCGAGTTTAAGGGTTTATTTTGCATGAAGTGGAACCAGCAAAACGTTTTACTTCTCCTGGATTTAAATAATCAGCGTGATATCTTAAGAGAGCAAAGCGCCAGTTCTATTACAACACCATAAAAAAGAATATCCTTCGCTGGAAATCGACCATCGATTCTTTTCTCTCCTTTTTTCTTTAATGTGTCGGATAAAATAATAAAACATGCACTCAACTCCGCGACGTCATCCTCATCCTTCATTTTTGTTTTAAGTTTACGAATGTTTAGGGGTATACGGTTGCGTGCTCGCGAATTTAGTGGCGAACAGCGCCTCGTGCGTTCATCATTCGTGTATACAAAATGCGTCGCACGAGGCATTCGGTTCGGCCTCGGCTCGCCTTAATAATGCCAACGCGATTTCACTGTACACTAACGTTCTACATGGAAGTAATAATTCGCCCGCTTGAGCAGAATGCATATCGTGTCTGTATTCGGCGAACAGCGGGGGACGGTTAAAAAAAAAAAATCAGACCGCCGTATCTCGATTAGTTCTTAACCGATTAATATCGTGTAATATACCATTTTGTAGGTCTCAATGAGTAGATTGAGAATCACTAACTTCAGATATGTGCGTTAAAGAGTTTTTATTTTTAAAATATACATTTAAAACTATAAATTACACTCCTCAAACAATTTTATCTATAAAATGCCAGCGAAAATCTAAGCTAAAAGATTTTAGCTTCTGCTATTTATTTTCTACTATAATAGAATAGAACGTTTACCTTTCGACTTCTAAAATACTGGAATACTATTAATGTTGTTAAGTATACGGCTAAGTATAAAATAAGAAAGAAGAAAAAAGTTAAAACTTCATGCAGTGTAAGATGCTGTATTTATAAGATGTTAAAGTAAACCAACCTCTCGCTGTTTTTCAAAACAAAGAAAAAATAAAAGAAAAAATTACACTTACAAAAAAATGAAATGTTGTTCGCGATTATTACTCCTAGTTTGATTCTCAACCTGTATATCGGCGGTAGAATTCGAATTTGTGAAATGATGATCCTGATAATCCTATAGTGAAATAATATACAGTGAGCGTCAAAAGATAGGAACAAGTGTTTTTTTTTTAGTTTCTGCTAGGCGCTGATACTCTAGTAGTAGTAGTAATAATAAATATATCTGAAGTATAATACATTTTAAATTAACACAAAATTTATTTCAAATAAAACGAAAGGCATCAAATTGTTTAACTTTAAAAGTACGAAAAGTGGGAGAAACTATTTTTAGAAAGCCCTAAGATTAAGCAAAAAATATACATGGTGATCTATTTGAGAAAATAACGTTTTCATATTACTAAAAATCATAAAATCAATTTCCAATCGAAATAAGATCAAAAGTTAAAGTATTATAGATGAGCCTTAACTAAATTCAAATTAAACTTATAACAACCTTATGTTTACATACAAAAATGGGAAAAGTCAATTATTGTCAAGTGAAAATCATGGCAGTCAAACTTTAAAATTAATTTCCAACAAAAACAAATTCTCTTGATACCTTTCGCTTCATACTTTATTTGATATAAAAATATTTTCTTTATTTTCAATTTAATTTAAGTTCCATCATAAAAAAATGAATAAAAAATAACAAAAGTAAACTGATGGAAACAGTTTTGATAGAAAAAAAAAAAAACTCTTGATTTATGACCTTTAGCAAACACTGTATAATTTAGATTTATCATATACGGGTGTCTAAAATTAGGGATTTTTCACACTCGACCGTTCTGAGGCCTTTTTTTATTTTTATTATTATTAAAAAAAGAAAAACACAACAGCAAGCGTTATTAAGAGAGGTAGTAGTAATCAAAGCTGTGTTATTGAATTAAAAAAAAAAACAATAAAAATGCCCAAACAATACAAAAATTATGAAAATAAGTAGGGCGATTCAATGAGATTATTATAAAATAATTCCGGTATAGTATAGTTATTTAAAAAATATTGTATTTGGAAATAATAGGCAGTAACTGAAAGTCAAGAATATTTTGTAGAATACTGATGGAGTTGCCACATACAATATCTTCACTTATCGCACTAACTATGCCAAATCAAATAACAGCATTTTTCACACGTTTAATTACTGCCTATTATTTCGATTTAATTGTATAGGTACGCAGAAATTAGTATGATATATTGGCATTTGAAATCGAATAAATTGAGGGCAGAATTAATTTTTGATATATAGTTTCTGGGAGTCCAAAATCAAAAATACATTTTTACAAATACAAAATCTAAAATACATTTTTATACTTGTACTTTTTTCCTTCATATTAATAATAGTCGGAGAGCTGATGACGAATTTGGGGAATGTGTTTGAAGGCAACTTGAAATTATAAAAAACAGTATTTATGTTAATGAATTTGGAATCGAGAGTATGCCAGGGCATTTCCGGTTATTTTGTTACTGCGCAGCATATCTCATTAGCAAAAAATTAATCCCAAAAAATATGTTTTAGCCAACTGGGACTTATTTTATTATTTTAGCATTTATAGAATTTAGAAATAAAAATGTCAAGACTATTTGGACGGTTTGAAGAATTTAAGTCGTTCTGTCAGAAACGTTTATACTTAGAAATAGGACATAATACATAAAATCAGGCAAATTTTTAGATTGTTTCTTTCGTTATTCAAAATAATCACTTTATCACTGTTTTTTTTTACAAATCCTGCAATTCAAGGCTTTTGTAGTCTATTGTAAATTTAAAGCACTATTATTTTAATTTATAAATAAGTGACAATTCTGTCTGTCAGTATATTTCTTTGTTATTGAGATTAAATTAAATATAATTAAAAATAGTAATTCTTGTGAAGAATCGATAAATAATATTCCACAAGAAGCCGTCAATATTTACAAATAAATCGTATATCTTAATAAAACTATTTAAAAATAAAAATAATTTAGTTATAAATATTAAATAATAAGGATTAGTTGGCCCGTTAGTGCAAAAGGTAGAGTATTGACTTGTCATGCGAAAGGTCGGGGTTCAAATCGAGGATGAAAAAAAAAAAAATAAAATCTTTGTTTTTCGAGTTCATATTGTTAGAAATGGCCCTTTTCACAAGGAAAATGGAATTAAAACCTCCAGTACTTCTAAACACAAAACTAAACTTTGCAACAGAGGTGAAGTACCTAGGTCTCACCTTTGACAGCAAGTTAACATAGAACTCACATTTAGAAAACAGAGTCAAAAGAGCATACATTGCTTAGGAACAATGCTCCCGAACCTTGTGGCGCACCTGGGGCGCAGTTGTCTGGGTACCGAAAACCCAAAAATTAACAGCTATCCGTAAACTAGAACAAATTCAAAGAACAGCGTGACTCAACATAACAGGAGCCATGAAAGCAACACCGACCAGAGCCATGGAAGTCATTCTTAGTCTCACTCCTCTCGATATTTACATCAAGGAGATTACTCTGATGACAATGACACGGGTCCGTATGGTTGGAATAGAACCTGATGTAGGATCTGGTGAGGAGAAATGTCGCTTTTGGCAGGAGGCGCTCGATACGTTCCCACTGCTTCAAGCGAACAATGGACTCCATTTTACCGAGATATATCTTCCATAAGCCATATAGAGTTATAGTAGAACAAATAGAAGAGCCGGAAGTGGCATGTACGATTCATATCTACACCGAAGGTTCTAAAACAAAACGAGGCTGGCTCAGGATGTGGAATATACTCCATATTCTTAAACTTAAACATAAAATGGGCAGTGAGCAATAGTGCCATTGGAGTTCAAACAGGGGGATTCTCATAGCAGCAAAAGAAATCAACAGAAACAATATAACTGGAAGGAATATGCTCATCTATACAGATAGCAGACAAGCACTACTCACCCTCAACAGATCACGAATTTACTCAAGGGGTTAGTACTAGAATGTCACGAGGTTTTGGCCGAAGTATTCATCAACAATGTAGTCACCTTAAGATGGATGAAAGACCACGCCACATCGAAAGGTAACTGTCTTGCTGATTCACTAGCCAAGAAAGCAGCGAACCAAATACTTTTTGGACCTGGCCGTTCTATTAGCCTGACAAAATCGGTAGTGACAGACCTAATTAAAAAACATTCCCTTGTGAAATTCAAGGAAAGATGGGATAAAACAAAAAACTTCAGAGTTGCCAGGGAGCTCTTAAGTTATCCTGCACAACATTATAGGAAACAAATATTTGACATAATCTACGCCTAGTGACAGGCATTCTGACTTGTTATTGCCAAGTACGCAAGCATATCCATATCATGGGGCTGTCAAAATCCGCACTCTGCAGAGGGTGCGAAAAAGAAGATGAGAACATCGAGCATATCCTTTACGATTGCTCGACGCTCTCTTTTATTGGAAGTTTTGTGTTCGGCGTGTATCGGCTAACACCGGCCGATAAAAGAGAAGCACCTCTTGGCGAGGTTGTCAACCACATTAAATCTATAGGCTGGCTCACGAGCTAGGAGGTGCCTATCATCTTAGGAGGATGCACAATGGACCTAGTGAGGCCTAAGTGCCGTGCGTGTAACCCACCCTCCACACGTTACAAATACAGATTGTTGACGGTACCAAAGAGCGCTCGTGTCAGCATCCGAGAGGGAACACTTGAATTTTGCCCGTTAAAGACAGTTTTTTATTTTGTCCTTAAATTAATTAGATTTTAAACATTGCATAGTTTATTTTTTCAAGATATTGAGTAAAACATAAAACCACCTTAAGACGTATTTTGTGAAGTGGCTATACAGAGTGTTATAGTATACAGGGTGATACATTATTAATAAACAATAATTTTTTTAAATTAATTCGTTTAACAGTCAAATAATTTTTATAATAGTTATTTTATTATAACCTCTAAATTAGTTTTTAAAATTTATAGATTTTCGTTAATCGGTCGTAGAAAAAATATATACTTATTGTTCGTATGGCAATCGGACGATTAATAAATTTGCTGTAAAAATTATAAGGTACCTAAAGTATATTTTTCGCGTATATTAATAAAACAAATTCGGCAACTGGACGTAGGAAAAATTTGAAAATCTAGGAACTAGCTAGATCAGCGTTTCTCAACCTTTTTTGGCCCGCGGACCACTAATGGTTCGCCGGACCAGCGGTTGAGAATAGTTGAGCTAGATGTCTTTGGGCCTATTCAACTTTAAGTCGCTTATTTTAAATACACCATCTATATTATTACATTTTATGTATCATGTCCTATATCGTCTAAGCGTTTTTGGTATAAAGACTTAAATGTCTTCAAAACCGTCGAAATAGGGTGGCATTTTTATTTTTAGATTCTATAAATGCTAAAATAAAAAAAATTAAATAATTACAAGTTACCTAAAACATATTTTTTGGGATTATTTTTTTGCGGAAGTCATTTCTGCGTAGAAGCAAAATAACCGCAAATGTCCTGACAGACTCTCGAGTCCAGATTCACTAACATAGATACTTACTGTATTTTATAATTTCAAGTTGCCTAAAACACCTTTCCCAAATTCGTTATCTACTCTTGGTCTATAATAGGAACTGAAATACAGGGTGTCCCAAATAAGAGTGATCGATTTTAAATGTAAATGCACAGCTTATTAATTGCTCTAAAGAGATGGGGTTTTCACTAATTGCATTCGTTTATCCAAAAGTTTTTCAAGTTTGTTCACATTTTATCACATCAATACAGGGTGATCCACTAATGTTGGTCAACTTGAATGGAAAAAATATGTATTATTTTAAATGGAACACCCTGTATATTTTGATGGTATTCAAGAGAGATTCATCTACTTTTTAAAAATGTATAGTTTGATATCTTTTGTTTTCTTAACACAGATTTTCGAGTTTTTAAGTAACACTGCTGTTTTTTTTATTTAAAAACTGACATTAAATAAAATTAACAAAAAGAATTTGTTCAGTAACAAAACATAACAAAAATTTAATATAGATTACAAAACAATTATTAATAATGAAGGATGTAAAAGATACAACAAATGCTGTATGTGCCTATGTATACCCTCCTCTTCAATACACATGCGTAATTGAAATTTA